ACATGCAAGAGCCATACGATTCGCGATACACTCTCGCGTTGCATTTCCGTTGCTCGCCCCTGCTACCTATGAAATTTTCTGCACCCCTTTTTTCGCTCATCTCTTTCGCGTTTCTTTTTTCCGTCGATTTCCATGTTTCCGAATTTTTCAATGTTCGTGAATGAATAGCAGATCAAACGAGTTTCAGTGGCACATTCGATTAGAAAAAAATGCACGCGTGTTTCGCCGAATTTATATTTTAGTTTACTCGATTCTTCTCGTTATCATTCGTGAGAGTATCAATCTATCACGAGGAAATGAGATGAGATGAAAAAGTAGATTAAAGAGGAATGATTAGAATAAATAAAAAAAGTTGGAAATTTATCTGTGAAAATGATCAGAATGAATTGAGTTCCAAAGTTACGACTAGTTTTTACTAAAATCTGTATATTGTTCCACGCTCTTGAGTTACCAAAGTGCGAAAGATAAAAAACAAAATAAGTTGAAATGATAGACTAAAAAGAAGGGATAAAAAGAATATAATGTTCGATGACAAACATATTTATCCATAAAAATTATGAGGAAAATTGAGTGGGAAACAATGACCTTTTATGATACATTTATTATCTCATCCTTATTACCCCATCCTTTGTAGTATCGAAATTGCAAATAAGAAACAAGACGATTGTTTTGCTGCGGTGCTGACGCTGAAAGGAAGCCAACCTTCGAACTGAGGAAAGCATCCGAGTCACGAAAGGGCAAAAAACGACGTTGCACCCACCTGAACGATGGGCCCTTCCATCTGGGCATCGACCTAACCAGATGGTAAGATCTCGCGGATGTATGATCTCGTGGAACTTGTTCGGATGTTCGCCAGGGTTCGCCAGCCGTTGGTCCAGGCCAGCATCCCTTCCGACGGTCGCTCGTCCTATCGGGGAATGCTTGAACTATATTTGGGGTTGCAAACGGTTCACCGTTCTGCGCAGGGCGTCTGCAAACAATAGACGCGTGCGTTGTCCGTGTGTGTGAAGGAGTTCTCGTCTGTGGGCGATAATTTCATTAAGTACAAATGTATCGACTCGAGTGATGGAAAAAAGGAAACGCCGAGAGACAATAGGAAGATACGATTGAATAATAGAGACACAGGGGGGGGGAAATGATCGAACGGCACCTCGTGGTATCGAAGCAAACAGCTGGCACCGTGTAAGCTTCGCGTAACATGGCTGAGAACAGCGTCATTTTCAATCGTAAACAGTGACTCATTTATATCACATCAACTCCATTACAAAAGATAAAAAACAAGGGACAATATATTGCGATTGAGTCGTGTGGACTGCGATTTTGTACGTACTGAAGTTAAAAAAAAGATTTGTATTGGAGAGATGGCCGGTTACGCGGTCGTGCGCAAAAAATTTCGCTGATCCTCGCTCCATTTGGGGGATCCTGCGCCGGCGGCGGAAAGAAATTTGTCGGTAAGTGTTGCGGTTACTATTGATTATATTATGCTTGTCGGTGATGCCATTCGTTCGATACTTCGTGTTACTCACGCGTAAAACGATGATAACCGACCAGCCGACGATTTCATGTTATTCAACGAAGCCGTCCCTGTTGATCCGTGGAAATACTGGTCGAAAGTGAGAGAAGAAAATACGTTTGAAACGGGAGATAAAAATCACTTGAGAAATGAGATCGTATGACGGTGAGAGTAGTTCCACGGAGGACGACGACAGGAGAGAAGGGCTTCCTGAAGCGCATTTGCAACAAGGATCCTGGCAACGTTCGGCTTCGCATCCTACATGGGCTTGGGAACATCGTACTAGTGTGTGTATCAATCGCCTTTAAGGATTTTTATATTAACAAAAAAAAAAAAAAA